GCTGAAAATTTTATCATAATTCACTGGTGGAACAAATGGGCTGTTCAGAGCATCTCTTTATCCCAAGTATTTCTTCTTGAAAATGTATGAAGAATCACTGTAGTCATTTTTAATGCGTCAGAATAAAAATTACAGGTGAAAACACTTGGAGATATACTGACAAAATAAAATAATTTCACTACTGTCATTTTTTTAAAATGAAAACATGGATGTTACGCTGGTTTTTTGTTATTTATAACATTTGCGTATTCTACAAAATATGTAACATTGAAAACAGGTCTGCAGATTGAACAAAATACTAGTTATCTCATATCATATGTCACCTAATAGTTATGAAGAGGGTTTTGTACCAAAATATGAATTGGAAAGATGTAATTTGTCCTGCAGTTATCGGCCTGCATTAGAGGGGTATGATAAAGTGTGCTGCTTAAAAGCTAACATTCACAGCTCTGTGCATTTGACAAATAAAAATGTATATTGAGATGCTATTAGATCTGTAAAGCCACTGTTCTAGTTTTCTGATATAATGATTTTGTAGCTTTGTGCATAGCCCTGTTTTTTCATGAGTAGTTATCTGTTTTCATGACAGGTGGTCACTGACTGCCAAGAGAAAATCCAGCATTGGTGAGTGAAAGATGGTTTTATTACTTTCTGAAATATTAATGGGGTCACCTGTTTGTATTTAAATAAAGCATATTTTTGGTATTCCGTAATTAAATTCTAGTAATCGCCATTTTGAGTCCTTTTGATACGAATTTATATTGTCTTTACCATTTACTGAATTATTTGTTCCCTGAGCTTCTTAAGTTGTGCCACCATTTGTGTTTAATTGCCTTTATTTTCCCTTTTTTTCCTTCTTCTTTTTAAGTTAAAATAATATTACTGCTATTATGAAGTGGAGACTGAGACATTTTTGAACCTGACTAATCACAGAGAGCTCTATTTTGGGACTATTTTTAATATATGTAGTAGAATAATAATTAGAATCAGTTGTTTTAGAATAATGATGGAAATATGCACAGGTACATTTTCCCAAAGTTTGAAAAATCTAATTAATTGCCTGCACCTCAGAGCTTGCTTTATAGACCGCACATTTTTACAGTGCAGAGAGAAAGCTAGCCT